TTTGTCTGTTCTCTATAGCTCCTGCTCTCACGGTCATCTACAGAAAGTGTTCAAAGGCTTTTAAGCTTTGAAATCAAATGGAAAAGATGTGCAAATGTAATGAGAAATTAGCCCCTAAATGACACTTACGTTGTTATGACATTTTGTCTGTCTAAATCTGCCAATTCTGAGTTTCAGCCCACCAGCACTTTCCAACCTCTCCGTCTCTCTCTTTAAACCATGCTAACAATTATTTCCCAGCAAGATTAATCGAGGCACATGCTGTTACTGTCATTACCCCTCCAAGCGCTGACATTAGCTCCAACAATGTGACTGTAATTCTTATCGTCCTTGCTCACTCAAATAAAAGGCATCCTCAGTCACCAGCCTGTAAATAAAGCGCGCAGTAAAATTCATTTTCACAAAGATCTTCAATACATGCTTCGAGGATGAAGCCTTGATTAATTCTAACTGTGTTTGACACTTGGAGCCTTGGGTCCTTAAAGTGCACCTAAAACATATTGGAGTCTTTCTTTGAATAAAGTTTACGGTTAGAAAAGAGAAAATGAGGCAAGACAATCTTGAGCCAAGGGAAATCCTTTGAGGGCAGTTTTGATTTGTTGGAGAAGATTGGATACTCAATTCTGTAAATGTAGGAGGAATATTATTACATGTAGAAAAGAAATTCAATTACATTTTGAGCCTATGAAAGTGATCATCCCCAGCGAACACAAAGATATTTGAAAATAGAGTGCCTCAAGTGAAATTTGAAGTGTTCCTTTCCTTCTAAGAATAACAAAAAAATGAACAGTTATGAATTATAATTACAACTGCTTATTCGAAGTTTGGTTGCAGTGGCAGCAGTTCCTGCAGAGGACCCGAAACGTCCTTTTCCCTGGCAACATCAACCTGCTCTGAAAGGAGGATTCCAAGGTCAGGGTTTCCCACACAGACTATACTTGGGCGGGCCGCCCAGGTATATTAACGGCCGCCCAAGTATAGTTCACGACCCATTTAGTTTGTATTTTTTTTTTTTTTTTCTTATGTTTTAAAAAAAAATAAAAATGTATTCGTCCGCGACCACGACGCCATCTGCAATCGATTAACTTGTGGACAATGACCCCTCGCTCTACGCCTCCTGTACCCAGTCCCGGACTGGCCATCGGGTGGACCGGGGGGTTTCCCGATGGCCTAGCCTGTTAAGTGGCCCGCATGATGCATTTAACTCCAAAATAAAATAAAAAATCTTACTGGGGGAGCATGCCCCCGGACCCCCCTAGAGGATTTGAAGTCCACCCCCACTTAAAATCACATGGACAGGTTCCTAAATAAATGTACAATTTTTAAAAAATAGTAATCCATGTCCATATGTTTATTTGTGGGTAGTAGATTTAAACTACAGTATAGGGCTATCACTACGGGCCCTGCCTGTACCTGTTCGCTCTGCCATCGCATGAAGGGTCTGCTAACAAGCGACCAACAGAAAGGTTCATTTTAATGTTGTTGCACGTCACAAAGGCACGTCACCACGTCCCAGAAGCGTCCCAGAAGCGTCCCAGAAGCGTCCCAGAAGCGTCCCAGAAGCGTCCCAGAAGCGTCTCGGCGCTGGGCTCCGCTAAAACTACGCGGCTGGTCTATTTTGGACGCGAGACGCAGCGTTGCATAGCGCCGGGCAGGAAGTGGAACGGTCAGAGCATCCAGTCAATCCCCAAAATAAACTAATTTTGCAGACCCTATCCCTCCGTAGTCTTTCAAGTAGGAGGAGAAATGCCAGCGTTCTCCTCCGGTTTACAGGCACTGTGTACATTATATATATATATAGAATTATGATGAATGCATTTTTTACCACTAAAATACAGCAACACATCTTTGATTCATGTCGTTTATAACTGGACTATTACAAGTATTATTACATTTGTCTGTACAAAGTAGCCTGTCCAAGAAATATGACCAAATTAACAAAAACTGCGAGCCGGCACGCAAGACGCTCCGCTTCTGAAAAGCTCCGCTTCTGAAATGCTCCCGGTGGGGTTTGACGCTGTAGGAGGTCAGAACAAAACCGCGGCGCAGCCGTAACGCGGCGCCAGCCACCCTCCGGAGGAAAACAATTTTGACCGCTTGTAGAAAGCTGACGCTGTGTGCTGAGGTGAGCCCAACCAGATCCAACTGGTAGCACTTCTTCCAGCTCCTTCCTCCCCAGAAAGTTGAAGTTCCACGTCTAGCTAGTTTCTGCTGCTAGGGTCAGGTCAATCGACAGTCGAGACCCTCTACCCCTATTGCAACCCATCTGGCAGCGCACCCGACTGCATTGGTCTCTCCCTTGGGTGGTGGGCCCACGGGACCATGAAGTGTAGGTGTTGTCCATGTGGCTTTTTCAGGCTGTGCTCCGGCCAGCCTCCACATAGCCCGGCCACTAGACGCTCGCTGATGGGTTCTCCTTCTGGGCCTGGCTCCAAAAGGAGAACCCAGGCTTCTTCTGGGCAGGGTAACCTTCCTTCTTCCTCTAACTTCCATGAGGTGTTTTCTCAAACCATTCTTCTGGACCATCACCTGAGACTAATTTGCCATGGGAGACCCAGGATTGCAAGGTTCCTTGACACAATATACAATGACTGTTCCAGAGGAAACCTTAACAACCATGAAATTATCAAAAGAAAATGATATTTTCGCATATTTCAGAAAAAACAAGATTATATAAATAATTTCAAAATAGGGTTGGATTTCAGATTTGTGAAGTAGTCTGGGTATACCTTATACAATGGCCCCTTTTTTTAATATATAACTGTTCATTTCCCCACAGCAGCAAGTTTTGTGCAAGCTTTCCACATTTTAATGAGAGAGCAAATATTGTGCCGAAGAATCTTATCTCTGTAGTTACCTTGGGGCAGAGTGTCTCAAACTCATTAAGACATCAGGGGTTGAATGCATGATAAGCCTCGCAGAGTGACAGTTAAACTGCTGCTGTATGTAATGACTTGAGAACACTGTGTGTGTCCAGAAGAGTTGGAGGGGTGTGGGGGGCGGATGGCTAGCTGCCAAAGCCCTACTGTATCTCTACCTTTTTCTTTTTTTTTTATCCCTGGGGCCCAAAATAATATTCCCTGTCTGAAAAAAGGACAAGCTGGGAAAATGAGAGTAATTCAGGAAGCATATTGTGTGTCATTAGCACTTTAATTGTTGTGCCCCACATAGCAGAAAATGTAATACGGCTGAAGTGAATCATGCACACGGGCTCAGCAAGGTGTAAAATGAGCAAGTACTGATTAGGTTACTGTTCTCTCGCAAAAACATAATGACACGCAGTTATCAGACCAACAAATAGACTTTCCACACTGCTTAATAAGCTGCTTGTCTTTCAGAGAGATTAAAAATGTATAATTGATTTCCTGAAGAGAGGAAGAATAAGACAATTTGCTCTGCAGGAATCCATTTTTATCTAGAAAATGGTTTGCAGAAGATGCATGTGCCTTTTAGTGAAAGGCATCCTTCTCATTTCCACTGTTACATTCACACTGAGAAGATGCACAGCAGCCAGCATTTCCTCACACTTCTGCCGCCAGCCACTGAGCAGCTCTACTGGAGCAGATGAGAGATAAATGCCTTGCTGAAGGGCATGCCGTTTTGGAGAGAACTACTTAATCTCTATTTCCAATAAAGCGATGCAGTATATCTGACAAATGCACTGTTGGACCCAATAATTCTTCAACAAACTTAAAGGCAGAGAGGGAATGTGTGGGACAAAAACCTAATAACACACTACAGGAAAGGGAAAACCCCAAAAGCATAACACTTACTTTTTAACTCTGTAACTTTTAGCTATTTCAACCGTTTATCCATTACTCTACTCCCTCTATATTAACCATATATGTATTTAGATTGATCTTGCTATTTAAACTGTGCCATTACTCTTAATGAATAGAATTACTGATTCAAAGCTGTACGTTTTTTTCATTAATGTACCGCGTTCTGGAGGGGAAAATGGTAAATGGACTGCATTTACCTAGCACTTTCTCAGTCTTTGCTCAAAGCGCTTTTACTTGAACAAGTCAGCATTCTCCCACACACACATTCATACAAAGGCAGAGGCAGCCATTGAAGATAACACCTGCTCAGGGAGACTCACATTCAAACACATTCACACACCGTTGGCCATGACATGGAAGAGACTTAAGGATAGGTCTCTTGCTTAACACATTGACATGTTGGGCCTGGGAATCTAACAACCGACCTTTCGATTGGTAGATGAACAATCTACCTCAGAGCCCCAGCATATTTTAATTTAAATCCTAAAATCCATTTACGTAACAAACATACTTATTTTAAGTCTATCATGGTGCCTTTTTCTTGCCTAAACTTAAACCAATAAGTTCGTTTTTGTTATGTTTTCTTTCAATTGGCAACACATCCCCGCATGTTTAAAACTATGACAGAGAGAAAATGTATCCCGTAAACGGTAATTGAGATGAAGTTGAATTTGAACTAAATCTTGTAGGAGACAGGGTTGGTGAGGTATATAAATCTTCATATTTCTTCTATAACCCTTGTAATAATATCCCAGCTACACTTTGGTTTGAATAATCCTTTTCTGCTTTGCTTATAGTCTTTCAAATATGTAGAGCTCTCTATGGCCCTAGGAGGTACATAATCTCACAACCCAACAGCCTATTGAATTGTTTTAGAAAGCGGAGAGAAAAATACTTTGTTGAGATGACGGCGAACAAGGTCGTGTCTGACAGATCACCGGGTGGCTGGGGGGGGGCTGGAGGAAGCAGGAGCATGCTAATTTGTATCCACTCTGTAGAAGTGTGAGACAGCAGAGCTCTTCAGTGGAGGTGATCTCGGGTGAAGTCCCCATGCTTTCATAGCCTCAGATATGTTTATCCTTGGGAAGAAACATTCCTCCTCTCTACATAATCAGAACGTGATATCTCAATAGGGTACATGGCATGCTGCTCTGTGTAAAAGCATAAATGCCAAAAAAAACGAGTTTCTGATCTGTGTACTTTTGTTCCCTGCTACAGATTTACAGAGTTTCTGGAGCCCTTTGAGAGAGTGATTCAACCAGAGGAGCTTTGGCTCTACAAGAATCCCCTCGTTGAGTCAGACCACATTCCCAAGAGGGTCATGTTCGTAAGTACCTGCTGTCCAATTTTGCATTCCTCCTGTTCCAGACTTGATTGCCAAAAAAATACGAACATTTTGGTCTACATGACGTGCATCCTCTGGTTTATTCTTAGTGATCTTTGCGCTGCAGAAATCCTTCTGTTAGGATGATCAATGCTGCAAAGCCTCTTGTTTCCGCTCTCGAGTTCAGGCTCTGAATCTCGTTTATACAGATACAAAAAGGGCTTTACTGAGCTGTGCCGATTAACACTTCCAACATATATATATATACAATCAACTTGGACAGAAGTGGGCGAGAAAAGGTTCAGATGAATTTCTGCTGCGCGAAATGAATTGGAATTCTGCTGTTAATTACTGAGAAAAGAACCTAAAAAAATCTCTTGGAAAACACATTCCCTTTGTCAACACAGTTCTCAGTGGCTTCATCCCTGGCTTCAATGCAGTTGAAAGACAGCTTACTGAGCATCACAGGAATCATTCCAATATTGTTGTGAGTCATACATTGTTTACAGACTTGGAAGGCGGACGCTAGATGGTCCTATTTTCAAAGAGTGATAATGGTGAAATATGACAACACATACGATGCCAAAAAAAAAGCTGTGCCTAAACCTGTGAATAATAAACTAAATGTGCCACCAACATACACCATAACTGACATGAAACGTTTGGGAGAAAATTGGTGTTCGATTTGGATGAACATTTTTTTTGCTTCCTTGCTGTGAATCTGATACTAAAGATTCATACCCCTGTCATTTCTATAAAAAAAGTATGGTGACGCACTAAGTGTAGCTTAGCATGAAGATTGGAAGCGGTGGGAGCATATAGCATATGTCTGAAGTATAACAAGAATTTCCTTAGTGGTTGCGCAAAACCTGCAACCACTTATATTACGCCTCCATGTAATCACCTCCATGGTCAAATTAGATAAACTTGAACGTCTAGAAACTATTGGCAGACTGATTAAAGTTTTTTAAACCTGAATGTGTTTTCACATTAGCGCTCAAGGACAGACATTGAGTCCTGATAATGATTGCATTCTGTTCCCCGTTTGCTCGTATAATAAAAAAAGAATTTGCCAGATTAAACAACAATCAAATCATCTTTCACAGGCTTCAGGCCATGATCTAGCAAGGGTTAGCATGTGGTTGAGAGCTTTAGATGAATAGGCAACAGTTTCACTTAATCATTTGGCTGAAAGACAGATGTTTTGAATGCTGTGCAGTTGGACATCAGACTGTTAAATCAAACAATCAAACCTACTTAACAGGCAAAGGCAGGCCTGTCCAGCGCTTGTTTGGCTCTCCTCTTTGCCAACTGACAGCTCTTGACTGAGTAGCTCTGCAATCTGTCATATGCTCGCCCACACACATCAATCTTTCATTTTGGACAGAAACAGCTGCAGAGTAAGTGTTGAGCACTACATCAGTCGTTTCAAGCTAGAAGTAATCCTCTTCTGTAAATGTAAACGTTTCTCTCCTACATAAATAAGTAACAAAATAGGTACAATCAACTGTAGATAGTGATTTAAAGCTTGACTCCGCTTAAAGGGGCTCTATTATGCCCTGCTTATGCTTGGGTTTTTTCCTTTGAATCTTTGTTTACTTTACCATAACATAATGACATCACTATGCAACACCCACGCTTCTATTGGCTCGCGCGCCAACACATTGCACTTGATAGGTTAAGAGGCAGGGCATCTCAAAAAAGTTGACAAATCATAACAGAGCCGGCCTGCTAATCTGGTTTCAGACAGAGGGTGAATGAGGCAGTATGAGAAAAATAAAGAGCATTTTGAACATTAAAGCATGGAGACATGTTACAGTAGAGACACACAATACAAATACAAAACCTGACAATGAGCATAATAGCTCCACTTTAATGAAGTTAAGAAGCTTGCATGCATTTAGCCAATGGTAAACATCAAATGGGTAAAACATCAATGGAGGCAGATTTGCTCATAGATAAAACACTGAGCTTTAAAGTGTTCATCAACAAATCATTTGTTTTAGACGCTAGGTGCATTGACTATAGAGAGACTCCACTAATCAAGTAGAAAACAAATGACCGCCTAATAGCCTTTTAGACACCATATATGCTGAGCAGATGAACCCTTGAGCTTAAACACAGGGTATCTGAACTCTTTTAGGAGGAGGAGGCGTGTGGCACAGTGGGCTAGTGTGTTGGTGTTCGGATCAGGGGAGCAGTTCAAACCCCACTGCAGTCAGCATGTCGTTGTGTCCCTGGGCAAGACACTTCACCCCAAATTGCTCCTGTGGGGATTGTCCACAGTATTGAGTATGTAAGTCGCTTTGGATAAAAGTGTCTAAAGTAACATGTAATGTAATGTTTTATTTTCTTATTTCTGTTTTTATCATGCTATATTAAGAAAAATGACAGTTTATATTAACTTCAATGTCCATGGATCTTTGCTAGTGACAGGCCACTAAATAGTGAAAGAGACCCCCTTCCCCTCAACCCACTGACCTCTTAGGAAAAATGCTCCCAGTGCTGAGACCCAACAGTCAGCCTTCTTCAATGTCACCGCGCTGACAATAGCCCTGAAGCTGGGGGGGAATTTATCTGGCCATTAAAAATAGTCCTATGGAAGGGATTTACATTATGAAGCTACATTATGAATCACTGCGTCCTTCATTAAGATATATGCTGGATTAGTTTGCATAGCCTCAAGAGTCTCTCTCATTATGTGAGGGGAAGCAATTTCTTCAGTGTTTGGTATTTATTTTAGGACCCAATGATCAGTGTAGCCGAAGTTCTGGTTTCTGTCTGTACATTATGTAAGCAGGCTGATACTGTAGTGGACAGACCTCAAATCAGTGGATACAATCAAACCTAATCTTTGAGGAAATGACAAAATTCCCATTTTCTGCAAAGTTCATGAAACTCACAGGAAAACAAATACTGAGCATTTCCAGAGGAGATATTTAGAATGCAACAAAATGTGAAAATAACAGAAAATTATACTAAAAGATTTGTACTTAACGATACAGACCTTGGGAATGTCCCTGACAGCTGCAAATGCGAGTCCCCGCTCTAGGCAGTTATTCACATACAGAGATAAATCTGACCTTTAAAACCTTGTTTTGCTGTAGGGCTGTACTGAATGTAATTTTTCCCATGAACACTTTGAATAAAGTGATTTCTCTGAATTAAATGAGTTAGCCTTTTTTGATTAAATCAACATTTTATATTAAAATAACTCGTCAGTGCTTGCCTTTCTTTGTGAATAGAGGGAGAGCAGTCAAAACACAAATTGATTGAAGCTGAGTGTAATGCTGAAAGCAAGTTGTGAATTTTGGAAATGATTGCATTTATATTTTTTCAATGAGTTTACTTTGAGACTTGCTTTGGAATTGTCTTTTTTTTTTCTTTTTAATCACACCAGTCCAAAACAATCCCACGCAGCCAACACTGGAATCTAATTCTGCAAATATTATTATACTACCAATATTACTGTAGCATAATCTTTATCTGCAACTGTGCAAAAATACCACAATGGATAAACATGCAGGCTGCACAGCATTCTAATTTAGATTTATCATTTAAATGTCAAGGTTATGAATCAAATGTCAAACTATTTGTTACAGCCCTACATTTAAAGGGGCCCTATAATGCTCATTATCAGGTTCATAGTTAGCCTATCACGTACAATGTGTTGGAGTGCTAGCCAATAGGAACGTTTTACATAGTGATGTCACAAGTAAAGAAAGGAGTCCAATGGAGGCGTTTAAGGCGGGGGGATGTCTGGGAGAGAAACTCCCTCTGTAGGGAACTGTGGAATTTGAGCCTTTGCAGACCATTTACATGCACTGAAACCTATATAACACACTAAAGGAAAACAAAAAGGGCCTCTTTAAGTTACACTTTTTTTCAGATTTATAAAAAGGATTTCTATAAATGTGAACAAATGATGAACATTAATAAAAATGTGCTAAATATATCTCTTTATTAGACATGAATGTTAATTTCTAAGTATATTTAAGAGACAACATAATTTAAGTTGTCAAACCTTTAAGCAACTCAAACCTTCACAAATCCTCCTTTCATCATGACTCTAAACATCTTTGATCAGTGGTTTATACTCCCAGGGGTGCCAATGTTTAATTGTAGGTTATGAAGAGCTTCTGTAAATAAAGTACTTCAAGAGAGTGTAAATCAAAAAATTATATTCTGAGTCAGCAGAGACTTCAGTGGATTCCCTCACAGTGACAAAGTAATGGCAGCCGCTGTGACTGAAAGGCCACTCAGACTCAGGGTGCACTTCTGGCAAACATGACGGATGCCACCAGCTGCTGAGTCGCCACAGCTTAGTTGCTTCAATCCGTTTACGAGTAAATATTTCCAGTATCTAAATCTGTGTTTAGGCCTCTCACGATAATTAATTTTGTTGGACGATACATTTTCCCGGAAATTATTGCGATAAACGATAATATTGTCGGCACCGTTGTAAGACCAATTTAGACCACTGACATAATGATAATATATAATAATAATTCAAGTACATCCTTTCAAACAGAACTTTTTATTGAACATTCAACATTGCAAATGAAATGTGAAATAATATTCAAATATATAAATTATATATAATAAATAAAACAAATACATTTAATTATAACAAATTAATTAAAATCACACACAACAAAAACAATCAATTAAATAGACTCAGGCTGGAAAACAGAGCTCTCTCTCTCTCATATATATATATATATATATATATATATATATAAATAAATAAATATGAGCACACATTGTCTCACAAGCAAAAAAAAACAATACATACAAAGACCCAGATGCCTCAACAGGCTATATCCAAATCTGTATTTCAAAGATTTCGAGCAAGGAACAGCAACATGTTTGCATTGTCGGGCAAATGCATCTTTGATTGCAAACTGTCGGGAAGGTGGGGGCTCTCCATCTCCAGATGCCGTGTTTGCTCCCAGCTGGGAAAACGGAATGGGGTGGTTGTGTTTCAGGTGCAGTTTAAGGTTGGTCGTATTGCTAGCTTTTGTTGCTACCTTTTTTAAACAAATGCGACACACCGCCCGGCTCATTCAAGTCCGTAGGTTCGCCTCGTTGATTTGGCTTGAATCCAAAAATATTCCCACACCGGAGATGTGGTATTAGGTTTTGCAACCAATTCCATTTAACTTCAAATTCCCCTTGAGTAAGTCACACGTTGTCTACTGCTTGTCTCTATATTATTAATTTGGCTGCTACACTGCTGCACTCGGAGTGTCCTGACCTGGCTGTGTCATAGGCTGTGTGTGAGCCCCGCCCCTCACAGCCGCCGGGCTAAAATGCTGGTCACATCCTTATGTACACAAACTTGCATGTAAACGGCAATTTATCGAGCTCAGAAAAGTTATCGAGTCCATTTTTATTTATCGTACGATAAGTCAATTTATTGATTATCGTGGCAGGCCTATCTGTGTCTGTCTTTTTTTAAGATGTGAACAGGGATTATGAAGCGTGACCATACAAGCTCATTCTAATCACTGTGCAGTATACAGTAAATGCCTCATTGGAGCAAGACATTGTTAAATGTGTTTCAATCTGCAGGGGCAACCACAATGTGTCCCACTGAATATAATGTGATACTGTCTATTATAGAACACCTTGTATGGTTTTACATTCATGGTAACTCCAAGTTTTAGCACTATGTGGTCTCAACTACAGAATGTGAAATAGGACATCAGTCCAAATCTGAAGTTACATTTTGACATACAATGACATTCAAAAGGTTGCCTGCCAATTGAATGGTGTTTTATGCTTTTAAGTTGTAGAAATGATTTCAACTAGAGGGGCAGAAAGAGATAAAGATACCTCTGAGCAACAATTAAAAGAATAAAAGAGATCAGAAATCCTTTGTTAAAGAAACTGGAAGCATAACATCAAAATGTGTGCAGATTTAAATAGATACAGGTTTCAGTGTCAAGTGCACAATCATTCCTCTAAAAGGCTTCAATTAGAAGCATTATTAGCAAAGCTGTGTCTCAAACTTCACAATACAAATAAAAGATAAATCTAGGGCATAGAAATAGAATAAGAGTAGATGCCTAGTTGTGTGCCTCGCCATTGCAAAGAACTGGTGCAGTTCAACAAAGTTTTGTATAGGTTCAGTGTTTCCCCTAGGATGGAGTCATAGCAGCGGTGCTAAGGCACCGGCTAAGGCCCAGCAAAATGTGAGCGCGGAGCGTGTGGAATTTTTTAGTGTGAGCGCGTGCGAAGTGCGCCCCGCCAATATGTTTCTATGTGTCTGCCAGCACAAGAAAGGCTCTTGAGGTCTACTACAGTGGCAATGTCTCAAGATTTAGCAAAATACACCTTTATTGAACATACAGTAACACAAATACTACAAATCCACATAACAAACAATCAAAAATCAAAAAGGGTCGCCACTTATTATTATTTTAATTTAAAAACAAAAAATTTAAAAATAGTGCCACTGCTATTTGTATATAGGGGAAACACTGAGATTAGAGTTAGCACTTTGAGAATGGATCAGGAAATAACAGCTAAAGTTCTTACAATTCAGTAAAAGATCTAGGGTTCCCCAGAGCAGGGACTGCTAAAAACATAAAATAAATACCTCCTGGTATTTTGGCCATAGTGGTTGTGTAACGTGCCACCACTGTCAAAAGGCATCTATGTGTAAGTGCAAACTGTTAAAAGGAGGACTAAAGTATGTGTTGCTGTTTGATTTGATCATCTATGGAACTCAAGGAATTTGAAAATATATCTTAGCTTACCATGTCAATTTCCTTTTTGTTGGACGAATAAATTGGATTTCTGATTTCATTCCTTGTTGACCTATTCAATATAACCACTGATCAGACTGCAGAGGAGCAAAGCAAAACAGCTTCCCAATATATTTGTATCCCCAATTGCACTGTTGGAGAATAGAAAACTAAATTGAAAGGTGTGTAGGGGAATAAATGGTTACATCAATATTTTTCACTGTCATGCAATACTGTAGGGAAATCAGCTAAATGAAAGTTTTAATAATTCAAAGGTTCTTCTTTTTGGGGGAAAACGATCTCAAATATGAGATAGAAGGGCATTCTAAGGTCTTTTACTAAATGGAAAAATATTGTGTGTATCCGCCACCTGTTTCAGATCCATTGAAAATATGTAATGGGTTTGTTGTTCGTACGTGCTACACCCTTAAGGTTCATTAAAATCAAGTTAGTCGTTTTTCTTGAATCCTGCTGACTAACAGACAAACAAACCAACAACCAGGACTGAAAACAAAATCTCCTTGTCTGAGGCATGATACATTTTGTGTCTTCATTAGATCCTACTGTTTAACATAACTCTGTATGTTAAAATAGCCATTATTGAAGTAAAGATTAAATGCATCAATATAACATGGTGGTGATTCCAATTTTTTAACAGCAGTTAAGTCTCTGCATATGTGAGAACACGTCAAATAAATGTTGGCTGATTTTATTTCCACTTACAGTAACTGTTATTGCACTTTGATCCAGGTGCCATTTCCAGTTTGAATCTAGCTACTTCAAAGAGGATAGTGAGGAACAAAATGAGTTCAAAATTGGCAGGGACTGATGAACAGCACTCCAGGGAAATTCAGAATGCGTGTTTTAATAATGGAACAGAAACCCTGTCTTTGTTTTACTACCTCTGTTGCTTAAGGCAAAGAAAATATATTGAATTTGGCCAAAATGTAATTAATCTATTCTGAGTCATGAATAATTACAGAGGTGCTGAGGAAGCCCAAATCTCTTCTCAAGTGGAGGGCGAAATTCTTCTCTGAGACCCCACTGAGCAATAAAGAGGCTTGTTTGGCCCTGCAGTTTGCCTTGTTAAAAATTAACTCTGAATAATGGATAGGTTCATGTCATTCCCGGAGGCAGAAGCCATTTTACCATTAACCTGCAAAACAGACCCCGTGGAAAGCTGCGGCACGTCTCAAATGTCACAATAACGGTACTTTTTTCCTTTTTATTTCCCCCCAGGCTATTTCATTTCTTGCCCCATTGGCAGTGATATTTGTGGTGAAGATAATTCAGAGGACGGACAGGACGGAGCTGAAAGAGGCATGTTTTGGTATGTGGAGCAAATGAGTTGAAGTGTCAAAAATGTCTTGTTGGTCATTTTACAGTTGCTGCATATATTGGAGTTTTTAATAACCTGTTCTACCTGGAGGGCGTGTGCTAATTGGTCACCTGAAAGTCAGGTCGTTATGGCAACACACAAGTTCATCTTAATTGACATTATATTTAAAACTCATACAATGTCTTGCTGGTTTCATTCTCAGAGCATTTGGCCATTTATTTCACTCTCTTTCTCCGGTTTCCATTTCCCGCTGGGTCGACAGGCCTGCAGAGGCTTTGGCGCATCAGAGAGCATTAAATAACATTAACACAAATCCAATTAAAGAGTCACACAGAGATGCATCTGGTGGAGAAATTGTGACTATGCATCAGATTAGGGTGCTATGTAACAGCCCAATTACCGCCTGCAGAGAAGCACTTCCAAAAGGTTTTATAGGTTTAACAGAAAATTACGTCCCTCAGAAGAATTGAATTAAAGTGAGCCAGATTTTCTGAGGATTGTCTACTGAATCAAAGTTTTGAACATGTATTTGAACTATATATACTTTCGCATTGGGTGTGTCGTAAAAAACTAAAATGTTTTTGTATCTACTGTACCTACAGATTGTATGATCTTCAGCTAAAATCCCTAAATTATGTATTCATGCAAATCTATCGTGTTCAAAGTTGCTCCTAAAGGTCATCTAATCCAGAGTTAACTCATCAAAATGTTAAACCCGTGTAGTTGGAGAGCTGGCATAAATTCAGTTTTTGAAGTTGCATGCTGCTCTAGTCCTTCCAGTGGAACTCCAATGAGTGCACTCTGCTTTAACACCGACTCCTGTATTGTTCCGTTGAGTGCAAAGAGCACAATGCACCCATTTGTAGAGTAGCCTAATAACATTTTATGATTCCCAAACTCCTGCAGCTTTATTGTGTAATTATCCATCAGTCATGAAGCAATGGGGCCTTTTCGGAAGTTTGATTAGACTTTCCAAAGAAAGACTACATTCTGCTGAGAATGATGCAGAGATGATTCTGCAGTGATTATTTTTAATTTGGGTCAAACAGCATAAAGGATATTATTCATCATTTAAAAAGGGAGTTTCATAGCGACACAGATTTTTTTTTGCGCGTGTAGAGGGAGTTATCTCCCAGTGAGACAATAACAATGTTTTCAATACTAGGAGATTATGTGGTGTCTGCAAATATAGTATAATGTGTTAAAACTTCAAACACCGATTTGATTATGTTTATCAAAATCAGGACACTACTGAGAAGATTTAGACCAATTATTTCACTGGCATTTGTTTTGACATACAGAGATTTTATTCCAGTCATCAACAGCAGGTCAGATCAGCTGTCAACAAAATATGAGCTAACACATTAGGGACTTTGGTAGGGTGGCAGAAACGCTGTTTTAACTCAATGTGACTCTGAGTTCCTGAGATTGTTCAGAGATGGCAAAAGTACACACAGTCTTTACTCAAGTAGAAGTACAGATACTCGTGTTTGAAAATACTCTGGTAGAAGTACTGACTAAACTTCTTTACTCAAGTAAAAGTAAAGAAGTATGGGCTTCGAAATGTACTTAAGTAAAAAGTACAGATAACTTTGTATCCTTGGGCAAGACACTTCACCCTAATTTGCTGTATTCACTGTTACATGTCTGATATGTGCAATATGTAATGTAAAGCGCTTTGAGCTTTCGGAAGTGCTCTTTTAATTAATTAATGAAACACAGATTAAAACTAAAGTAACAAACCTGTTTTGAAAATGTAAGAGGTAGAAAGTACAGGTATTTGTGTTAAAAACGTAAAAAGTACAAGTTAAAAGTTGTCAGTAAGTAGTGGAGTAAAGTACTGATACCAGAACAATTTACTTGAGTACAGTAACAAAGTATTTTTACTCCACTACTTCCCACCTCTGCCCATGGCATTCAATAATGCAAACTCTGTGGTAGGGTTCATGTGACCAAATTAGTTTATCTTATACCATTCAAAATGAGTGAGGCTTGTGAGAAAAGTCATGTATTTTAAATCTTACTCAAGAAAAAGTGCAAACGTCTTCATAAAAGTTCCAACATTAAAGAGAACTAGTCCTGTGTAAAATTCAGAATCATTCATTAAATTGTTGGATTATTGATGTATTAATCACCGCTAGTAATGGTGGAGCGCATTTTAATTACCTTACCTGCTGTATATCTATAATTATACGTCAGTGTTTCTCTATTATTAAAATAAATATGTTGTGCTTGTTAATAAACTGAATCTAAAGTAGGTCAGATAGATGTAGTAGAGTAAACATACAATATTGCCTCCAGAATGTATTTGAGTAGAAGTATGAAATGTATCATAATAAATCATAAAATTAAAATACAAGTACCTCAGAATTGGACATGAGTAAATGTACTGTGTTCCATTCCACCAGTGCAAGGCAGAATATACCTTACACCACAATAATACATTACTAATATATGCCACAAGGTCAGAGGAAGTCTCCTTTATGAGCTGTGCTACTCTAGCTAACACTCTTTTGATGTCATAAGTGTCACAAACAGGCATAAGTGCAGTACAAACTGAACTGCCAAAGCTGTGTTAGTGCTACTGTTGCTGTTGGGCCATCCAAAATGTATGTATACTTTAATGATCATAATAAGCAAACGCTCAGAGGCTATACTTTATATGAGCTGGAGTTTATTACAATAATGCCTCCTCACACCAAGAGGGATCTGACAAAGGGAACTCATTGCAAGTTAATGTTCTATTTTTCAACCGGTCAACTGGATCATTTTCATTTCATCTGCAGAGTTTGCCCCAATTAACAAGCTGTTAAATAATATTGAGTCTGCGCTCCCCCAGCAGCTCAGCAGGATAATGGGTTTGCACTCTTGTGACATGGGGTGCATTCAATTGAACCTCAGACTACTGGGATGAACCTGTGAGGGCAGGTATCAGCTAATGATGAGCCCCAGTGGCTTGGCTCAGAGCTAATTAAATGAATGTACAGTGCAATGCCTACCTGACAACCAAAGGCAGTCCTTCCGTTTCCCATTACCAAAAGTTGAGCAGAGGCAGTAATTGCTTTACAGTTAGATTGACTCTAAGTGGGTGAAATCATTTTGCCACCACAACTGTAGAGACACTTTTCTCATAATGAAATATCTGATTGGTACTTACCAGCATGAAACCAAACAGTTTGCAGCATTTCTCATTAATTTGGGACCAAGCACTGAGTCAACATGAAACAGTCAACATGAAACGGTTAAAAGACTTATGAGACAATGATGCAAAATGGAACATATATAGTGGAGTGGCTAAACCAAATAGAAAACAAGGGGTAATTAAGATAAACACAATACAAACTGACACTGACAAAACCCAAATCCCCCCTCTGACATTGAAGTACATGGTTTGTTCCAATTTGGCCCAATTGGCTGCTTGCACTACTTATGAGTCCTCAGCCCTCAGTCACGCCTTTTGCTGAACCAGGAAGGAACCTCCCCTAACAACCATGGTAACGCAAATGTAGTTAGTAATACAAAAAATACCTGTGTTAACTATGCTAAAATGTGGGCAAATATACTAAATAATGTCAGGTTTAAATAAAATAAAGAGTTTACCATTTAAATCTAATGTGTGCTGTTAATTATTGATGTGGTTGACTTCAACTGAAATGAGGTCAAACTAGTGAAGGTTAGGGTTCAGTGGTATTGCTTTACCATGTGTGGCTGTGGCCATCACACCACACAATCATGTTGCCCATACTGTAGGTTAGATACTAATATCATTGTCACCATGGCTTTGAATAAAATGTCTCAAAAGTATTGCATGGATTGTCAAAGTTCCTTTTTTTGTTATGCTTAGGTTAGTGATTTAATGTATACCGTATTGGAATCTGCATATAGATGCATAATCTATAGGCAATGGGACGTGATTTTGCTGTTTTGTTTTATTTGAAGTCAGATTAGCACTAACAATTACATTCTAGCAGAGCTCAGTTGAATGACGCTGAAAAGCAAAAGAGGCAGAATACATAGGCCAACATGTGTTCTTTGAACCTATGGTCTATCTATATATTTGTATAAACCTCTAAAAACAGATATCTGCATATGAATGTTATACAATGTGTTTCATTGAGATGCACAAGGGATTACATTATTCTCTCAATGAAACAATCTATGGGAGAAATGTCCATGCATTAATATAGAGATTTGTCTATTTCTATGTATGTGTAAAGGTTTAGTTGTGTTTATATTTGTTTTTTAAGCTTGCACTGTGTTAAAACATTATTTCTACTGTTGCTGCATAGAAATTATAAACACATTAATCCTGACAACCATCTGTCCAGCTGCAAGAAAGAACTCCAGTAAACCTAATTAGCTGTTTAATTTGAACATTTTGTCAGAAGAGCTGCACTGCACTGATAAAACATATCAATCATTTTACTACAGCATCACTGTTTCTATGAATGCTACCACATTGCTAATGTGTCAACCTTGTCTGTGTAATCCAAAACGCTTATTTGGCTGTCAATCTGCTTATTCCAGCTGTGTCCCTGGCCCTCGCATTGAATGGAGTCTTCACAAACACCATCAAGTTGATTGTTGGCAGGTATGCATAACAAACAAACAAGATGTGTCACTGATGATACATTTTGCAGCATACGCTTACTAGATTTATGAGTGATACATTGTTTGACAGGAATTATCTTCATCAAAGACACGCAAACCATCTTTTGGGTTTTATTTTCTTTCAGACCCAGGCCCGATTACTTCCACCGTTGTTTCCCGGATGGACAGATAAATGCCAAGATGCTGTGCACCGGTGAGCCAGATATAGTCTCCGAGGGACGCAAGAGCTTCCCCAGCAGCCATTCCTCCTGTGAGTACCAGCTCTCAGCCGAAGTAGATCCCCTGTCAGCACTCGTGAAACAAATACAAAACATATCTGACTCATTAAAACTGCACGCAACCTCAACTCCAGTCTTCACTCAGTTTAATCTTGATGCTCTGAGTATGGGGTTAGATTTGTCTCAATAATATTTGTGTGAGCATAAAAAGTAAAACACCTTCCAGAAATGCATTCAAAAGATTTGCAAACTCACAAAAAATGCAAACGGATCTGCAAATATGCTAAATATTTTTCACAAATAAAAGAAAGATCTGTGAATACTTTAATTAGTTTACAAATAAACAAAAGGAATTTGTGAATCCCTCTATAACATTGACAACTTTCAATCAGGCATTTGTGAATCCATTTTGTATTTGTCAACCAAAAATGCGCTTTTTTTTTTTTATTTGTGAAAATATTTTGCTTATTTGCGGATCCGTTTTACATTTGCAAACATTTTTTGTGAGTTTGCAAATCTTTTGAATGCATTTGTGGAGGGTGTTTTACTTTTACAAAGCACACATTTACACACACGTTTTTTTTATGTTCACACATATGATTGAGACAAATCTAACCCCATATATGAGCAACATTTCGCCAAGTAGTCCATGTGCTGACTGGTAGCTACAAGGTGTTTTCTTCCCATTTCAAAGTGATGATCCCTTTGCCGCCTCTCATCGAAGTTAATTACAACATGTAGAGATGAGATATCATTCAATTTACGCACCCGCAGGCAGGCAGCCTGTCGAGATGCGCGGCGGCACGGGGGTTAGCTTGATTGAGTCAAGCGCGTTCAGTCTTTTTCACTTGGCACACCTACTGTTTCCGCTTCATCTCACTTCCTGCTGCGTTTAGCTGTGCAAACCAATGTAGGACTGTGGACATCTTATTCCACCATATTGCATTCCAAGCTGTTTCCAATCTAGCAGCGTGTTGAATAATTCACATGTTTTCCAGTTGTCCAGCAGATGCATGTTAAGTAGAGCGCTGGCTGTGGGCCCTGCAGATGTGGAATCACAAAATAACTGGCATGTAAAGACTGCATTGAAAAAAGATAGATATTTGATAAAACACACTGATGTGACTGCATTCTTTGAAGATTATTTTCCGTCTTGCTCTAGCGACGCAGAACAATCAACAGTAAAATGCTTAGCCTGGAATTACACTGAACCTCCTTCTATCTATTATGCAAAATGTAAAAAAAGATATCATCATATCCTCCAGTGAACTGTGCCTGGACTGTTGCATGCTTGATATTTATGTTGTTTGTTTTAGTTCCACTCCAGATGCACATTCACATTTAACAAGGTAATTATGCAGATTTTTCTAAGTACTGCAGGAATGTGTAAACACGCCAATGTTTGCATCCAACTGAAGTTAAAAGAAATGAAAATCCTTCAACACTTTGAGCCTTTTAATTACATATTCTAATTAAACTACATATGTTACCTGTGAGTTCAGAAAGAACTGTGTTTCTGCCTAGAATATAACAAGGTTAGGTTTGATTGGAATCAAACATGGGATTAATTGTTCTCTGTGAGTTACAATAATGCGGCGAGATGGATACGATTTCCCTGCCGCTGTAATTTCATGGTCCAGTCTGATTTCAAATTGATGCTTTAAAGTTGCGTTCTTACATCTTCTCAGACACCTGCATTAAATAGAAATGCTTTGAAGTGCTGGCTGTGTCCCATTAGAAAAAGCAGAGTGGGACATTTCTCTGTGATTCACCGCACCACTGTGTATGGATTACATCCATCTGCGCGGCAGCTCTAATAGCCTTATGTTGTAGCGCTGTGAGTGAGAAAGTGTTTGAGAGAGCCGTGCCACAGGGACGCAGGGAGCACCGGTGTGCCAGCGCGACTAGAGAGCAGAAGAAATCCAATTTCCTGTCTGTGTCCCCTTTCACCAGGACAACACTTGCTGGACCACGCATACGTTACAGAGCTTTTACTCAGACAAATGAGTAACCCTTATATCTATCGGGACGATAGATATAAGGGTTAATGTCATTTTATTCAAAGTGGCTTCTGGACACAATGCAACAACACTTCTGGCTGCTATGATAGCCTGTACTAAAGGTAAAATGAATCTATTTTTATTCCTTGTGCCTCACAAGATAATCTGCATGGTCAAATAAAACCCTAACGATTCCATCAGAATCAGCCTGGATCAAAATGTAAACACACACAAGGATTCAGTGTTTGATGAAAGCTATTTTCTAAAGCAAACAAACCATTATTGCGTTTCCAAGTTTTTTAAAGCCACTCCGGTTCTGCTTGATTTGATTTGTTTTCCTCACCGCGTAGCAAAGTGATAGAAATCGGACGAGACAAGTCCCAGAAAGAGCAAACATCAACAGATAAACACAAACAATGCTTGGATACACACAGCTGTAAATCAAACACACCCTGTAGCATTACAGTAGCTGTAGGTTATCTCCTTATTCATATTCATCACACCATCTCCCCCTGTGCAAATTAAGCCTTTAAATATGATCAATTATTACACACTTAAGAAAAGAAGGAAATGAATCCTGAGAGACGGACCTAATCACATCTTTGAATCTCCACATCTCTTTTTTCCTTTGCAAATAAATGACGTTATTAAATGAACCAAAGCTTGGACTGTCCATCAAATTATTCAGTATCTGGAGAGAATTACACCTCTGCTCTCATGTGTTTACTATAATTCACTCATGAACACTTCACGCTGTCAGGAGTGTCCAAAGAGGTTCAGGAACAGCTTGTGTAGGAGTTCTACAGCAATTATGCAGCGCTAATAATGACTTCCTGTTGGGCTTCTGTATGCTAATGGATAGTCATAGTCAGAGAGTCAGAGCCCAAGTGGTTGGTTAATATTCATCGCTTCTGGTAAGAGGCAGAGGGATGTCCCACCGGTTCTTGAAGGGGTCAAAGGTCCAAACAGAAAGAGGGAAGGGAGATGGGAAACAGAAGCGCTGCAGTTTGACAGTTAGACAGTTTGTGTGCAGTTCCAGGATAGATATGTCAGCAGAAATACAGGGCAGGAAGGAAAAGAGACTGACATTACCACAATTATTAGATTTAGCAGAGGGTTTGACCGGAGCATGACTCCACTTTTTAAATCCGCAGCCAAACCCGGTGCTTTGAAAGAGCACTTATCTACTTTAAAATGTCTCCTCTGTGTTCACTTGTCAAAATCCATAACGGGTTCAAGAGAACACCTGCAAATGTACTGCGGCATCCGTAAAAACTCCTCTTCCCACTAATTTCTCTCTGCTTTTTACCTCATTGCATTTATACCTCCCTCACCTTTGACCCCTGCCACCCCCACCATTCTAGAAACAATGTGAGAATGGATTTGTAAACCATGCCTCTGGTTAAGTAATCCATTGTATATTTATGACACAGAGTACATTTAATGCGACCTTACTGTGCTTTGTGGCATCTTACTTGCTCTTTGTATCACCATAATATTTCTAAAGGGAACTTTGAATGAGTCTGTGGTACTTAATACATTCAAAGTGACCTTTTTTATGCTGCAATTTCATGCAGTACTATAATATTCCTGCAGGGAGTTATATCAAATCATGCAGTGAAGTGAGTTTCAAGTGTACAGTATATTAATCATATTGTCCCCATAAAGAACATTCAGTTTTCTATGCTACATTTTAGAATGGTTTAATATCCTGTACACCTTGAACTACTGAGTTTATTCATCAAATGTTGTCCTGCAGTATATACAGTATAGCTATGATTGCAAAAATCCCCCCCTAGTGATCCTAAAAAGTGCATTCAGACTTTTGTCATTTGTATCCTCTGAACAAACCTTTGAAAAAAAATCTCACTGCACTCATTAGGCATCTTTGTTTTGTCTCGCGGGAATTGCTTGTCAAACGCTTTCGATTCACGAAGCGGATTCACGACCAGAATGCTTTTCCCTTGCTGCCTCTCGAGGAGCCTCCTTCAGTGGCTGTTTAGTACCCCTAGTATTCATTGTGTCACCCTACCAATGTTCTGGCTTAGTTAATTATGCAAATCTCGAATGTAGAAAAAAAAAAACATTGTGCACGTTTAGATGATTGCGAGGGACAGACACTTGCTTTTCACCCTCATGTATAATGCATGGCCCAGCAAAGAATTATGTTATTGTATTCCTCAAGGTGATGACTCAGTGTGCAAATATGTTGTTTGTATGCAGTGTGTTTTCATGCTACAGTAAACCACCTAATGATAGCTTAACTATTTAAAATGCAATTACCACTGGTCTAATGACATCTATTTATTTCTGTGTTACAATCGGAGAGGCCAACAGAATATTGTGCACTTTCTGATCACCTCTTATTGAGCCATGAAAACCCTATTCCAAAAAAATAAGAAGAGATGTGGGTTTAAATGGACCATCAGCATATTTTATGGAGCCTAAAACCAGCAATGTCTAAAACACCCTCTGAGAGTTTGATGATCTGTCCGCACTGCCTTCTTCTTTAAGATTCTTGGATAGGCTCCAGCCTTCATCAATCTCAATGAATAATGATAACAAGTAATAGCGGTAAACCTGCTGGATTCCCTGTGCACTAAACTCACAAATAAATTGTGTTAGGGAGATGAATTTTCTTTTTTTATTACTGCCGAATTTAATTCCATATTTTATTCCATTTTGTTCCATTCTATTTCTATGTAAATACTGCTATATTTTACTATATTTTTTATTATGTTTACTTTTTTTTAATGTTATGCACCATGACATCAAGTCAAATTCCTCGTACGTGTCAACCTACCTGGTAATAAACCTGCTTCTGATTCTGATAAACCTGTTTCTGAATTTGATTAAGAATACAGAACAAGAGAAACAAATAAGTAGGAAAAAAACAATAAGTAAGGTCTTATTGTTCATATAAGGCAGATAATGATACCATTTATAAATAAACGTCTTTATCTTTGTCATGAAATTGCACTTTGCAGAAACTATAAGACGAGAGGAGAGGTGTTTTGGAAATGTGTGATTTTCTCATGTGAAACTGCTGCGAGTTTTCCGAATTTAAAGTCAGCAGACTGAGTCACTGGTTCATGCATAATTTAGTTCTGTCTATCCACATGAGTAATGTAATCGTCTTAGCCATGGCTAGAGTTATGGAAATAAATGGTGAGAACTGCTGTGTGATTGAAAATGAGGATCACCCAGAATTGAGATGTTCTTGCACTGAGGGGTGCTGAAGATCTAGAATGGCTTGACCTGCCAACAGAAGGTCTGATGAACTGACAGTAATGTGTTGTTGTCTGTTAAACCCATGTGCTAAACGTCGTGGGTGGTGATTTGCAAGATTTGATATACCACGGGGTATCAATTATTTAGTTTGCATATTTTACATTTTCCCTGCTCTCCATGTAGATTGATTTAACTGGCAGAAATGTTTAACTTGATAAATCCAGCCCTTGGGGATTTCTGTTTTCCAAAGGCTGTGAACCACTTATTAAGAAGGACCCATAGGCCAAATGAAATCTTACCACTTAAACTACAATATGATTTCAAGTAAGTGAGGTTGTAGGCCACCCAAGGGGGTTAATACCGGAAGCAATAAGAGATCCATTTAATAAGGGTTTAAGTCCGTTCTAGGTGGCTGTTGTTCTGTTGTTAGCCTTTTAGCTAGCGTCTCTATGGAAACTTACTGTCGGCTTACCATTTGTTGGAGCATGAAAATATATTAACAGCTATTGGAAAGACTCCCATTCAAATTGTGTACAGACATTCATAGAGTCACTTGAGATTTACATTTACTGACTCCTTGACATTTTGGATTTTGAGTAAAATACATTAGCAACAATTAAATTGATTTCCTTGAGATTTGCTAGAGATATTCGGGGCCGCTAGAGGATGAATTTGAATAATGCCATAACTTTTGATATCATTTTCTAATGAATCAAAACTTTGCTTTATGACAAAACACCTCTGAGAATAAAGACATTACCATCAACCCCAGGTTTTTTGTTGTTTCTCTTTTTGGATTTTGGACCATCTAATGACAACGTGTGCAGTGTTTCTTTCAATTGGTCAGTATGCTTCAGAGCTGGACAACACGTAGGCTCTTGGGTTCCTCTCTGAGCCTCTACAATCTAATGAAAAACAACACAAAATACAATTCTCTCCATAGATAAGCAGACATATTTCCGTTGTCCCCCCAGAAACATTTATGGGGCCAACAAAAGTGGCCAGAGCTTACTTTTCAACATCCCCTTGTTTGCCCATGTTGCCCTCATTACATTCTAACATGAGCTTACTTGGATATGGCAGCAAAAATAAAAAATGTAGTATAAAATACAAACAGACCTTTATGAAATCCAATCAGAATTTCCCATTAGACAGTCTTGTAAAAGTGTTCATTCAATTTAACATTTATATGCAATAACGCAAACTACATTATACCCATAATTTCCCAAATGGGTGACGCCGTATAACCATTCTTTATTAAAAACCCAATATCAGCCTACAGTATACCAGCCATCCAATATACTGCCTAATGGAAAATGCTGAGTTAATGGAGCCAACTCCTGCTCCATGTCAGCAGGGCAGCTACTCAGACAGCTGGACTTTCTGCCCTTTCTTCCCACATCCTTTCTCTCTCTCTACAGGCTGCACACATGTACTGGCGTCTTTCGTATTCTTGGCCAGTTTGTGGGCTAGGCAACAAATGGGCTGCTGATGGGTGTTGTTTGGCCCGCTGCAGCATTAAACTAATGACCCTGTCTCAGCTCCACCTTTTACGGCTCTATCACACAACTTTTTAATTCACACAATTAGACCCTTGCACTCGCCTCCATCAACTAAGACGCACAGCTACTTTAGCACAGCCAGTAGCTCATTTGTTTTCCATACAGGGGTTTCGCTTTCATTGTGACCTCAGACCATTTATTGATGGGCCTCTGCAGAGGGAAGCGGCTGGACAGGAATATATTGTTGCATCAACTATGCATAAATGCATTAGCTCTCTACTAATCTGATGTGAGATTTGGTTCAATTTGGGACAGTCTCCCCTCCTATCTCAGTCCGGCAGTATTTGCATAGAAACCAGTCATTAAGGATCACATGTTGTACTGTGTATTGGCTCAGGAAAGCACATCCATGCTGGATGTCCATGAGATCAGGCAAAGAGCTTCTCCACTAAACTGGCTGCTTAAGTGCGGACGTTCCTGTCTTGGAAGGCACCTGATTGGTCACCCTGATCTCTGCTAGCCGTTTGAAGCAAGAATCAACGTCATTGGCCTTCTTTTTCATTCTGTCTAAACAATCCACCAAAGTCTTATGGTAAAACATTTAAGGTGAGAAATGGTCTATACCGAAATATGATGCTTTTTAGATTGCCAAGATTGCCAGCTTGATCAAAGTTGTTTAAAGTTAGAGTGTATATTTGTTAACATTGTGCAAATTAAGACCACCCAAGAATTGCTTTTTCTGTTCTCCATAGGACATTAATAAAAAGCATTGAGACGCCCTCCGTTACTGGATCCAGTAGATGTAGCTGGATGAAGCTTTAATGCCTAAAATGACAGCCGACAGTGAGATAAAGAACACATTTAAAGTTGACATTAGCTATGAGACTATGCTTGGCTTTTGGAGATCTTGGCCAAATGTTATTGGTTAGTGGACTCTCAATATCAGCTGATCAGAGGCCTCTGAGTGACAAAGAATCGAGAATGAATAAACATAAAGTAAAGTAATAGTCTTCCTGACTGAAATCACACCTTAGCGTCATAAGTCTTCCTCAGTGTTTAGGTTGTGCTGATGTGTTTACCTCGGCCTGCTCTCAGGCACCTGTCACACACTGATTGACTTCAGTGCAGAGGTATTTTCTCATGAATGTTCTCCTCAGACAGGAAACCTATGAGTGGGTGGCAGTGGACAAGCTTCACATTTCTCATCCGCCTTCTTCATTACCTTCTTCAGTCTAAAATACTTGGTCTTCACACTTTAGCTGTCTGTTTCTTCTCTGATTTTATATTTGCTTTGCACTGTTACTGTTGCACACTTGTCCATTATGCATTGTTATTGACTTTGGTGGACAGGAAAGTCCCTTGAAACATGGTCAAAGTTTATGTTTTCACTGGTATAGTGATTTAATTTTCGATCTTGACCAACCTTTTTCTTTCTCTGCCTGCTAGTTGCATTCTCCGGACTTGGCTTCACCTCCTTCTACCTGGCGGGGAAGCTGCAGTGTTTTACGGATAAAGGTCGAGGGCGTAGCTGGCGTCTCTGTGCCATGGTGCTACCTCTCTACAGCGCCATGATGATTGCATTATCCCGGACCTGCGACTACAAACACCACTGGCAAGGTACGCAAAGCAGCTAAAATATGGGACACAAAAAAATGATTACGATGCTAAAATGTAAATGACTATCAAAAAAAAAGTTATGTGTTAAAATATCTGCTTGTGTCAGCCGATTGCTGTTCGGAAAATTGTTTCAATCACACCTGGCTGCTCAAGGCACTTTAGGAATTATTATACAGATAATGTAAAAAGCATTCTCGGGGTGATGCTGATTTTAGAAAAGCTTTACCACTGTAAAAAACACTTAAAAAAGAAGGGTAAAAGGAACAGTTTATCCGGTCAGGCAGCTTGGTTATTCACACAACTCACTCAAATATTTGTCCTATGAACCTGTTTTCTGTCGCCTATAGCATGATTTTTGATATCCTTAAAAGTGCCTCAGATTACAGTGAGGTGGCATTTCATTCAGCAGCCTGGAAAAACCTTATAATTACACACTTCAGTTTTGCATATCTGGTCTGAAAGGAGTGGAAGGAGAGTTGGGGGGGACAGAGGGAAGGCGCTGCATATGTGTGTGATGAGTGGGTGAGAATATGATGGCAGCTCTGTCATATGGTGTTAATTAGTTTTAGAGAGCCATATGTTCCCAGAGAGCAGACAACTCTTTTAACAACCAGTATTTATTCACATCAACACAAACAGCAGTTACAGTCAAGATAGGTCCTCCAATTTCTTAGCGTGACAAATAGTTTCCGTCTTCCCTCAACACTGTAAGTAGGCAGCAATGGTGCATCCCATTAAACATGAGGGGCCCACAATCTGCACTCAGTGTCAACACAAGATTGGAGCCCCCATTATCCTGGCCATGCTTGGTGGATTCCTCTATTCTCCCCATTCTTTCGCACTTTGGAGGTGAGCTTTCTCCTCCGGGGGGGGGGGGGGGGGGGAATGCTGGTTTACCAATCACTGTCTCAATGAGGCCACCAAACTAATACATTGCATCAAGTCACAGTCTATTAAACCCAGTTGACAGGAGTCGATGAAACATTCTCAGAGCGTGCTCATGCATTGTATAGTTTATGGATGGTGGAAATCAATGTTTCATTTCACCCAGAAGGGGAAAATAAAGGAAGTGCTGTGGGCCCCATGGAAAAGTAGAATTTTGATATAATGGAATCGTCTACTATAGCTGTCCAAGCCACCAGCTGGCTGTGTCATTATGATCTATACCCGGCAATATAGGCTTACTATTCACCATGGCAGGATGATATTATATGATGTATTATAGCTTAGAGGGGGGTTGGTATAATATGAAACTGTTCAGCAGAAATGACAAAATGACAGAGACAGCCTGTCCGGAGGCAAGTGGGCCCAGTGCTCGGTAAAACAGAGTCATCGCGTTGCCTTTCAGTTTACTTCCATCACGCTGTAAACTAGCCTGTTGCACATACAGTACAGCAGGCATGAGCAACAGGCTGGGGGACCCCATGCCCCATGTCAGAGGGGCATGGGGTCATATTTAAAAAAATTGACGCCAGCGATTTTTATTTCTTTTACATTCATCTTTTCCTAGACAACTTTTTGGACGGTTCTTAGGGATAATAAAATGTATGTATTTAAAAGAAACCCATGAGAGGGGTTGGTTCAAACTCTGCTACAGGACAGTTCATTAATGCTTCATGCAAAGGAACAAGGTGTACAACTTTCTCAATTCAGATAATGCTTCAGTAATAAGAAGATGCTGATTAATTTAATATAATTCACATAAATGTCATAATGTCATAAATCTTTCCAAATGCAGAGTATCAGTCCATGTTGTTATCCAAGCTTTAAATCTGGGCACATCTTTTGATTTCCATAATAGGAGAATACGTTTCTTTGCACACAGGAGACCATAGGACAGGAGATGAAGTTGTGCATTTCGAAGTTTGTTACATTGTTCAGATGTGCCCAGTCAGTAATGGATTGTTCTCGACAAGGTGTTGTTTTTCTTCCTCCACATGGGCTAAATTTAACTATACATGCATACCTTAAAATATACGTGTTTTTGCGACTTTGCAGACGCCGTTGTTGGAGGAGTGATCGGGTTGCTGTTTGCCTATATCTGCTACCGCCAGCACTACCCACCCTTTCTGCACACGGACTGCCACCTGCCTTACGCCAGTCTGGCTGCTGCTGCCCACCTGCCCTCGCACCCCCAGGACGACCCGCAGCCCATGGACAATGCCACCAGCCTTCCCCTGGAGGGCCTGACTGAAGGCCCAGTATGACTAGTGGCCACCACCGAGACGTCCCCCAACACCCTCACCAAGCCAGCGAGCCCACCTCCCCATTCCAAGTGACTGGCTGGCTCTTGAATACATTCCAGTGGACTTTAATACGACGTACCCATCTACATACCCCCGTCTCGGTGACACCCACATGTTTATTTTTTTGGGTTATAAAAAATCTATATTTAGATGTGATGTATGAGAGGAGTTTATGAAAAATGGGACATCACCTCTGAGAGGGAAGAGAGAAAAACATGCTGAAAACCAGAGGAATCACATCCTACTAATGGCGGTGAAGGAAGAGGAAAATATCTCCAGTTTTTGATGGATTTTTTTGGCTTAATGAGAAATGTGGTTGACAGGTTGTTTTATGTTGGAGTACATTTAATGTTTTGCTGTGAAGTATTGGGAAAGCAAGTTGGAGATACCCAGAAACATCCCATGAAATGTCACAGCAATCAGTCATGAAATCTAACCAGTTAAGAAGAGTATGTCCCCATAAATCAAAGCTAATGGGATTTAATAGCATGAAATCTGAGGACATTGTGTTTCAGTCATACTCTAAAATGCACATTGCGTTTTCCTTTAAACACCCAAGGATTTGGAACAATGCTTTTTAAAATGTCCAATTGTCAATTGTGACATAAAGCTAGATATAGAACCAATTTGCTTTTGCACAAAATCACTGCTCCATATCAAGGACAGTATTCAATGTTCCCCAACTTTACTATTCTACATTCACCCATTTTTGATTATTATATTTCTCCCTATTGTCTTTGGGCTTGTATAGGCTTCAGCAGTCCTGCATATTGTCCCTTCCCAATTTCTTTCCTTCTCCTTGTCTCCTTGTGTTTTAAAAGCCCTGCATTTGTTCCCACTGGTTGCACAGGGACATGAACCTAAATTGTAGCTCAATGAGTTCAATCTATAACAGGGAGGTGCCAGTGGCGGGGTGCAAGTGTGTCTGGAGTTGACAGACAAAAACTCCAATCTGATCCTGCATTAGTTCTCATTAAGAGGGATCAGCTACGGCTGCTTATGCGCACATTAGGACTATATGAGTTGGCCAATAGATGGCCCACGCATTTCAAATAGCTTTCAGCCCATTGTAGCCCCACAAATAGATCATCTAGCATTCAGGAGATGGCAGCCCTGAACCCGGGGCAGCGATTCTGATGTTTTATTCATTTGTAAATGTTCCATTATTTATTAATATTTCCAGCCTTAATTTAGGTTAGTTATGTCAAAAGAAACACCAAAGATTTGTAGCTCTTTTCCTTTTTAGGTTGTATGCACCCCTTGATTAGAGAAAATGAAACACTACACTGGTTCCCCTATCATCAACAAAGCAATTGGTTGCCTCTTCCAAGTTCTGTCAGAAAGGACTAATCATTTTGTTGCCCTGGTTACTGTGTATTTTAAGCCATTGCTGTGACATTAATGGGAAGGTGCAATCTCAGCTTACCTTGAAACCAACCAAGCTACTGAAAAGTCAATGATTATATATATTTGCACTGAAACGTGAAGGGTGAAAAACTGGAGGTAGCACATGAAAACAGCATGATACAAAATGAGCAGCTAGCCCAACGTAGACGGTTATTTTGTCTTTTTATTATCTTGTCATATCAGTCAAGACACATATTTATGTAGAAAGCAACACTTGAAATGGTCACTAGCTGGTTTTTGCATCGTATAGAATAGAAAAAGTAAGCTTCTCTGTTCAAAAATTCTTTTAAACGCCATTTACTGAAATCAGCCACAATTAAGCTTCTATCATTACGGAAACCCATTGGCAGCTTTTTAAATCTGTTTATGAATGTGTGTGCAGGTTTTTGACAAAGCCTATCCTGCACAGATGCAATACAAAACCTTTTGCAAGAGAGGAGAAAAAGGTGCTCGACTACACATACTGTAAGACTCTGTGACGAGACTTTACGAGACTCTGAGAGTTGCCTGGAGAGCAACTTGTGACCTCCTTGCTGGTCTTTCAGCACCAGACTGCAGATCGGTGTAATATTTTGACATCTTGAAGCAGATTTTGTGATTAAATGACACAGATGCATTATGTTCTATAGACCTGCATTCGCCTGACCTGGCAACTTGATGTTTGTATTTTGTCATTTTAGTATTACCTATTAGATGGTGCAGTGTATATTGGAAAAAATGTTGTTCAGAAGTCATGTCTGTTGCAGTATTTTTGCTTTATTAGCAGAGGATTTATGTTTCCCATTCCCCGACTTTTAATCATCTTCCTTTTTTTTTTGGTGCTATAGATACTTTTGTAGCGTCACTTTTATGTTCAAATTGTCATTCTGAAATGAAAATAAATAATATTACAGTAAATATTCATTTTTTTCAAATTGGATGCACAATGATAACCAGTGCATGTTATTCTGTATCTTTTTCTTTTCATTCATTTCACCTTCTCATGGACTAAAGGAATCAAAGTGAAAAAAATAAGAATAAAGAGATTATAATCAATCATTATGAATAGATGTCTGAAGAAAAAAGAGTGTAAGACTTAAGAAACTTTCTTGGCATGCCAGTTTCATTTGTGAGAAAATACTTTCTATGAATACGCATGTCTGGCCTTGAGAACTCTTTGAGCTGTGTTTTACCGTTTATATATTTTGTGTTAAATAAAAGCAGCTGTGTGACATTTGTCCAAGAAGAAAACAGATGAGCCTAATGTATCTTGTCAACTTGTGATCGTTGGAGCCTACCTTTGTTGCCGTGATGGGAACTCTTCACTTGAACACATAATTCAGAAACCAATTTTGGATGTTTATATGAAAAATCTCCGTCCGTGTTATCAGAACATGGTTATCACTAAGTTATAATATGCAAATGAACAATCGGACGTTATGCATCCACAGACGTTTGCTGTATCCCAAGTTCAGTTCAATGAATTTATGCTTCAACGGACCTGCTGTCGGATTGCACTGTGCTACTGAGGCAGTTGAGTGTGTGTGTGAACTCTGTGCTTAGTGTGTGTTGTGTTCTTCTGCATCAGTTGTGCTGCACTTTGTTTAGAGAGTTTAAATAAACGTGTGTATGCTTAAGTCTGCCTGTTGCTTTTCATACAGTATCAGTGTTAGAGATGGGCCACTCTTGATAGCTTTCATTTGTTCCAGTTAAAAGTTTTTAGCTAGCATTCTTCTGAAATGCATTCCCATGAAACCTTTCTTTGAATAAGAAAATAATATGGGTTTAGTGCTAAAAAGAAAATGTTAACAGGCTAAAACGAAACTTTAATGATGAACATGTCATTATACAAACATAAGCATGTTAGCATTGTCAGTGGGAGCATGTTAGCATGCCAACGTTAGCATTTAGCTCAAGGCACCACTGTGTCTTCTAAGTACAGCATCACAGAGCTCCCAACATGATTGTAGACTCTTAAGTCTTGTTAGTTAGAATTATCTGTCAAGAATCTTTTTAAATTAATAACTAATCAAGTGAACTTGTGTTGGTAATAGAGTGGTGCAGTGATGATGTATTTTTGTAGGCCGACCCTGAAGTTAGCATCGCAAAGGCGTCCGTCGAAAAAATAAGTTGGATTTTTCCATAGGATTTTTGTAAACTGCTGAAAATAAGGTCTGTGGCAAACACACATTTATGTTACTTAAACACAGTTTGGTCAGCAGGATAATCTCCACATATTAACATGTCGGTGTGATGACCATAGTCTAATTTATTCACTGTTAGAAACCGCTGTTTTAATAGGCCAACACATAGAAGTTTTAGACATTCACCCTCAAAAACGAGTTTGAGACGAGGGAACTGGAAGTATTTGGATTTGTTTCTGCACCACCAAATTGACCATGCTTCCAATCCCATTTGTGTGAAAACTGTATATGAATGAATTAAGTAATTCAGTTATCTTGAGGGGCTGAAAATTGAATTCCTGAATGTTTCGATGCATGCAATTAACCCTTTAGTCTTGCTGCTCATGAAAATCATTCCTGCTGAACAGCAAGACAAATACATTACAAATCAATACATTGATACCCTCGGACATCTGCCCTCTGCGGCTGATATAAACTGTGTCAAGTATGATGTAACCATCTATTCAATCAGACCCAGGCTGCTGCAGCAAACACTTCTGTAACAAGTAGAGAAAGCTGCCCTGCTGGGAGCGCCTTGTGCAACCTAAAGATCCTGACTAATACTTGAAACTAAATGGCTCTAAGTAGGCTATGTGGTTTATTAGGGGATATCATTTATAAGCTCGACATAATGATCACATTTTTGACTGCACTTATTTTCTTTAAATCTCGTCTGTGTTATCAAATTATTATTCCAAAGTCTTTCAGTTACTGTAGTGGTACCACACATAACATTTCCTAAGAATTTGTGCTCCTGCTAGGCTATGTGTTATAGTTTCAAGGATCAGTGAGCACTCAAACAATAAAACACCCACATGGCAGCTATTACACGGACAGCTATTGTTGCATCTCACCACTTAAACCTTACAAGAACCCACATGTTGTGAGAGTGTGTGCTCTACTGCTGTAAATTATGCAGAAACTAAAGTCCTTGTTCAGCATTGCAGAAGGCTAACATTCAATACAGTAACATATGGGAGGCCTTTCAGTTAAAAATGTGTTTGCCTTGGAAATAGAGGAGATGGTTGCCTTTCAGGGTGTGAAGGATTTAAATTCCTAATGAAAGCCATGTGTCATCCGAACATCCACATTGTTTACCTGTCAAGGCCAGCTGCCCGCCTCGAAATGAGCGGCAGTCAAATCAACCTGGATCTAATGCATCAACAGTCAGCTGGCATCTAATATCACTTAACATTGCAATACCCTTCAAGATGCTGAACATATTAATCCATCTCACATTCAGTGTTTTCAAAGGGGTATTTAAATTGTGATTTCATCAATCTTCGGTCACATTAGTTCACAGCATTAGAAAATGGTTACACAGTTATTACTAAAGAGACAGAGTGTACAGCATTACATTTTTGAGCAAATGTTTATTTGGCAAATACCTTTTTTTAGAGTTGGTTGTCTGTGCTTGAACTGTTTGCTGGTAAATGTTTTGTGGAGATAAACTGGCACTCCATCATTTATATTGCACTTTCATAAAGTGCTGGGACTCACAAGACATGAGTTTCTGAAAGTGACACTGACTGCTGGAGTAAACTCATTAGAGTCTATTGTATAGATAGTGGTGAATATGTAAATTAGGCCTTTTTCAACTTTCTTCACAAATAGTGCTTTAAATTACTAGTAACCTGATCTTAAATGGGGTCTATTATGCTTTTTGGGGTTTTCCCCTTCCAGTAGTGAGTTGTATAGGTTGTTGTGCATGTACACTCCATAGGACTCCTTTGTTTACATCTATAACATAGTTACAGCACTTTGTAAAACTTGTGCTTCTATTTGGTAGCGCTCATAGGTAGCGCTCCAACACATTGTACGTGATAGCCTAAGGGCGGGACATCTCTAAGTGATTGACCAATCACAACACGGCCGGCCGGTTAACTTGTGTGTTTTCCCGGGTTTGTCAAAGATCAACCCTCTAATAATTTAGAGACAGAGGAAATGATTTTCTTACTGCAATAAGTGACAATGTAGCAACTAGTGTTTCCTTATAACAAAAGCTTTAGATTCATCTCTCTTCCCTACTCCTATAATTTGGTTTTGCTTTTTTTTTACATTTCTGAATAATGAATGGATTTGGAACCTGAATATGTGGCAAATAAAGAAGTCATCACTATGGCTCATAATTCATGGATCAGCCAAGGAATGTGAGATTCATCTGTAAGAAGTTTCTTCTGTGGAGTTGTAACTGATATCGGAAAAACTTTTTGGGGCACTCCAGGAGTTATATTTTGTTGACATAAATTAAACATTTCTTGTAAAGAGGATATGTCATTTACATAATTTGATTATGCAATGCACAAAAGTGACTCTTTCTGAATAGTCATTTTGGGCAAAGATTGTTTTTTGTGTTCTTGGGTTTATGACTTTGTCTTATTTCTTAACGGGTCTCCTATAAAAAAACAGATAACTTCTTGAAACATGCTGTAGATGCAGTTTTGCCTTCGAAAGTTCTACAGGTCTATGTGTTAAAAAACGATACTTTTTGATTGTACTATAAAAAATGGTATATATGAGTTTTTATGCACAATAGTCCTGCACCTCAGCACGACTCACAGCCAGAGTAGAAGCTAGCATTCATAATAGATCAATAGCAATGAACAGACAGCTGTGGAAGTACCTTTCATGCTCCTGTAAATTCCTCGGGGTACTGTGCTATATTGCAGAACTCAGTGTTTTCTGTCATGTCTGCCTCATTAATACAAAAAACACAATTCTGTCAAAGTGCAAGATTCAGTATAAACCCTTGAGGAAGGGTCTGGGGATGTGTCTGCATAGTGAGTGTCAGGCTTGCTCTCCTCGTTTAAATGCTAAGCACTGACTGCACCCAGAGAGAGAAGGTGTTTGTCCATTCAGAAATACAACATATGCTAAATGTAGCAAACATACTTGGAGTTTTGTATAAAAAGGAACCCTGTTGTTTAATTATGAGAAAAGATTTGAGAAACCTTTTGAACTGTAGTCTTTTTTTCTTGCTTCTGCTGCACAGTAAACCGAAACCCACATAATGCAAAACTGGAAAGGAAATCTCCTGTCATGCTCGTCTATGTATAGATATATTCTTTGACAGAATGCTCCCCCTCAAAAATGACAACATTCCCCTCCTTGCATCATTCCTATGAAGATAGTTTTTTGAATACAGTATCACCCGGTTTTACCTGAATTCTTGGAAGAAAACCTGAAAATACAGAAACAGAAAAAGAAGATCTTGATAAATTGAAGTTAATATGGGCCACATAATACAGCAGCAAAAACTTCCATGCGAGTATGTAATAAGTAATGCTTTGCGCATGTTTATGTGGAAATGTTTGAGATACAAGATTTACTTGAAAATACATGGTTAGGAAGTAGTGAGCACGCAAGTGGATACATGAGACTTGGATTACACTACATAAGATGTAAACAGATGTTTTAAATATGGTTTTGTTGTTAACCGCGGGTCTTCTCCTTTTTGTGTTTTTCTTTTACTGTGGCATGTTAGAAAAACAAAGGTTTCTTCAACTTTAGGTTACACGGGATGAGTATTGAAACATAAATGGTGATTTTGGGGTAAAGTATTTCTCTAATGTAAGTTTGATGTTTTGATTGGATGATACATCATCTGAGAAATAACACCTCCAATCATGTAAATGTCAGTCACCATCAAATGTTATGCCTTAAAGGTCAAGGTTTTGTTGTCTTGCTTCATTCTACAATGTAGACAAATGTAAT